TTTATAGTATGTCATCTCAGGTACAGTGCTCTGTCTATGGGCACAAGAAGCACCACCCAACTGTTATTTTTAAGAGGTGGAACCAATTAGAAGAAAAAGCAGGATGATCTTAAAAGGAGCTAAAAAAAAAAACTCCTTTCAGTAAATTAGTGAACCAAGGGTTTGCATCAAAGCCTAATATAAGATAAATAAGGATTATTCTGAACTGTAACTCAATCAAGTACAAAAATGTGGAGTTATTAATGAGCCCCCTGTAAGGGTGCACAGTGTGACGCCATAAGCATGTACTTTATAAGCATCCATAGCAGTGAGTGACAGCACATACACCAAAGGAAAACCTTATGCATAACTGTCAGATGCCAGTGGCTTTGACAAAACAGCAGTATTTGAAAAAACAAGCTAGTTATTTCACCTGTACAGATAACGCAGTTTATAAATAAACCTCTGAAAGCAAAAATCTGGAAAGCTTAGATTGACTAGGCTCGCTTAGAAGGAATACCCTCAACCTGCCGCTGGGCTCCAAGCAAACACGTTTTGAACAGGCTGTGCAACAGTGATGCAAAATCTGAGACACCGTTTTTCAATATTTTAGTAAACAGCTAGGCCTAGGCCTGATTTGAGTCAGGTCCATGGAAACCTGAGAAAGTTTCTACTAAGTATCATCAACCTGTTTACTCTGATGCCGTGTCCCATCAAAATGTATTTTACAATAGATCAGATTTCTGCAGTGGGAATGGACATAGGCCTACTTATAATGTACTCATAGAAAACTACCTCACAACTTTGCAATCTTTGTAGAGTTATACCAGAAAAATATACTGCTTGGGTCCACTGCATTACACCAGCGTGCTTTTGGCCACAGCAGGCACCTGCTTTCAGGTAAACCTAGACAGCTAGCAACCATGCAAAAAAGAGTGGAAACTGAACCTACACACATCGAGTGGACAGAAACATGTCTGCACATGCCACTGATGATGTTGCTTTATGTGTGTTTGAGGAAGGCATCCTGAGAATGTGAGTGCAAATGGTTGTTTGTCTCTATGTGATAGACTGGTGAGCTGTCCAGGGTGTACCCTGCCTCATAACTTATCACTTCAAGGTTATGCCCCAGCCCCCCCTGCAACCAGGATAAAGATAGGAGGATGGTAGTTGCTGTAGATCCATTCACTTTTTATGTTAGCCAGACTCTAGACTTTGTTGAACATTATGTAATATGAAGACAACATGTAGTATTTAAGTG